GCAGGAATGGAGAATCTGGTTCGGTCATAACCTAAAATGTTTGTCAGATTTATTGAGCTTAAAGGTTTATTTCAAATCAAAGCAGAGATTTGGAACGGTGGGAAAAGCTGTGTTTATTTGGAAACGAAATTTCCCTTCAAAAGAAGTTTTCTACGATACACATACAAAAGTTAGAGGGAGTTGTGGACAAAAACGCCCCGAAGATTTCCGGAGGGGAAACTGCGGGGAGGGTCCTTTGTCCTTCGGCTGAGAATTGGGGAGGGGGGCCAAGGAAGAGCCGTTGCTCAGACAGGGGACCTCCCTAATTTCTGGCCTTGGGCCGAAAGAGAAGAGGGGATCAGGGGTCTTGGCTGGGCTCTGGGTAGGACGAAACTCCACATGCGACCATTCTTGGAGGGGAAGACCGACCGGAGTCCAATTTCTGCCCTGGGGATCTCCTTCACTCACTTGGGATCTCGGAAGCAGATCCCGGAGTGGGGCAGCGTCTCCAGGGATCGCTCCTCATCTGACAGACGCCGAAGCCTGGAGAAGGTGGATCACCCTGGGAGGGGAAATGGGATCGTCCGAAGCCTCCGAGGGGGATCTGACCTGGAAGGGATTAGGAGGGATTTCCTGGCAGGGAGAACCGGTGGATCAATGGAGCTGCCCCTCCACCACCTGGAATTGGGGGGTCTCTGTCCCTGGAGGTCTTCCAGAAGAGGCTGGATAGGGGTGGGATAAGGGCTCCTGCCTCGGCCAGTGGGTTGGACTAGAAGACCTCTAAGGTTCCCTTCCAGTCTCTGAGCCTCCCTTTCCCCGTCAGCCCTCCCCACACCAAAGCCTTCTACCCCTTGCTCAATACAGGCAGTCCTCAACAACAGTTCTCTTAGTGACTATTTGAAGTTACAACGGCAGTGAAAACAATGACATATGACCCTTTTTCACACTTATGACCTTTGCAGCATCGCCAGAGTCCCCTGATCAGGTGCTTGGTCAGGTACTTGTAATGGTTGCAGCGTCCCATGCAGGGGTGGGATTCAACTGGTGTTACTACCAGTTTGGTGAGAGTTGCATTTTGCGTGTGTTCTGGTTAGACAATACATTGTTAGTTTGGGAATGAGAGCTGTCCCCTTAAGGAAATGCTTCATGGGAAATGTAGTTAATGCCTCTTGGGAGATGTAGTTCATGTCACATGGTCACATCCGTAATCCTAATTGGTCACTGAATTGACCTCTGGTTGAGCAGAGGGAGTTTTTGGGCATTCTAGCCTGGACTCCAAGCATCATGCTTTGGTATATCATTATGGGATGAAGATAACCATCTTTTCACACTATAGATGTGACTTAATGCAAAGATTGGACATTAGATGAATCTCAGCATAACTGTGAGTTATATCTTGAGGATGCCTGATATTATCCAATAAAGTAACTTTGTATGGGAGCCTTTCTATTGTTGAACTGCCTGTCTCTATAATGAATGGGGGGGGGAGCCCAAAGGACCCCTCGAGCTCTGGCTCCTCTTTGCCCGTCTGAAGTCTCCACAGCTCCAGCCTGGGGGCCCTCTGGGCACTGTGGGTACTCAAAGGGCATCTAGTCTGCCCCTCCAGGCACTCCGAGAAAGGGGGACGGGATGAGAATCATGGGGGGGGGAGGCGCAAAAGGAAGTCCATCCTCCACTCCGGAGCTGGCAGGAAAGACCCCCTAGAATGCAGGCCCCCAAGACTGAAAAGATCCCCAGCCGCCCACTTTCTCCGCTTCTCCCTTCCGCCAGGTGAAGTCAAGGGAGACTCTGCCTGGACACAGAGGACGCTCCAGAAGGGAGGATTCTCATTGGTTCTGGCCCCTCCCAAATCAAAAGTCTGAGAAAGTTTCCTCCTCCTCTCTCACACACAAACACACGTGTTCATTTCATAGGTAGATTCGGGAAGAATTTGCTGCACTGGATGACAAGAGAGGTAGGGGCAGCCCCGCAGCCAGTGAGAAGTTGGGGTGGATGGGTCACCCACAGACACCCCCTCCAATCAACATATTGCCCCAACAATTTGGGTCCTCATTTTACCCACCTCAAAAGTCCAGGAAAGTCAACCTTGAGCCTGGTGGGGTTTGAACTGCCAAACTGTAGGCAGCTGGCTGCAGAAGCAGCTTGCAATACTGCACTCTAACCACTTCGCCACAGAGGCTCCTACAAAATCTAGTGAATTGCAACATATTATGAACGTGGGAGAAGTTTGGGAAGGAGGGGTGAAGCTTTCAAACACTTTCTCTAGTTATTCCCTTCCGAGCTCCCTAAAGTCTCCCACCTGCCACTGGAGCTGCTCCTTCTACTCCTCCACCTGGCTCAGGAGGAAGCCTTCCGCCAGGGCCACCGCCTGGGAGCTGCTCCCTGCTCCACATTCCCGCACCCAGCCCTCCATCTCTGGGGGCAGGAGAGCCAGGAGACGCTCCAGAACCACCAGGTCCAACATCTGGGCTTTGCTGTGCTTTCCTGTGTTCAGCCATCACCTGCACAAGTCATGGAGTCGGCTGCTCCTTCTGCTCCTCCGCCTGGCTCAGGAGGAAGCCTTCCGCCAGGGCCACCGCCTGGGAGCTGCAAAGTCCTCGGGGCCCCTCAGCCTCCCGGTATCGGATGGAGGTCCAGGGTGGAACTTATGAAGGGAGGAGGGTTCCCTCCTGCAGGACTTTCTGCCTGGTTCTGGTCCAGCTCTCCCCACAGCTCCCAGACTGAAGGACCAATGAGAATCCTCCCTTCTGCAGCGTCATCGGTCTCCGGGCAGAGTCTCCCTTGACTTCAGCGCAAGAGAAGATAGTTCAGCGCAGAGAGAGAAGCGAGAAAGTGGGAGATGGGATCGTTTCAGTCTTGGGAGGCTGCGGCTCAAGGGGGGTCTTCATGCCAGCCCTGGAGGGGAGTGTTGGATTCCTTTTGCCTCCCATTCCCCAATCCGCCATGGGGTGAGGATGCAGTAGTTGAGAGAAGGGGAGGCGCACGCCCCACAGCCAGCGAGGAATAGGAGCTCTCTGACTTAACCGGTGACTCGGGAGTCCTCGAGCGCCTTCACACACACACACACACAAACCCGGTGGGAGCGCCCTTCCCCCAATCACATAGGGTCACTGCCCTCCCCGCCCTCCCAAAGCTTCTCCCTTTGGCTCCCTTCCTGGCAAGGGGGCTGCCGGAGGGCCGGTTTCACCCCCAGCACTGAGGGGTTTTCTGACCCACCGCAAATGGAAGGTCGATTCTGGTTCAAGAAGGGCGATTGTTGATCTGAATGGGGGAGGGGGCCTCCCTGTCAACCTATTCTCCCAAAGCTCCAGAAGGCAGCAGGAGAAAGAAAGCAAGGAAACTGGCCAAGGAGAGATTCACTTCCTGACGGGGAGAGTTTGGGGACCTAAACGGACATCTAGTCCACCCCTCCATTCCCACAGAGGAAACTCTAGATGACAATCCTGAAGAGACCAAAGAAAGTGGAGGGTCCCTTCCGAGGCTGGCATGAACCCCCCCCCCCGCCTCCCATTGAGCGGCAGCCACCCAAGACTGAAGGGATCCCCTCCTCCCACTTTCAGCTTCGTTCTCTGCCTCCGAACGCTCTCCTCCTTCAGGTGAACTCACAAAGGACTCTGCCCGGAGACTGATGACGTTGCACCAGGGATAAATTCCATTGGTGTTTCAGCCCGTTCTGGCCCCTCCCAGCTCAAAAGTCAGAGAAAAACTTATCTTCCTCCTGACACGCGCGCGCACGCACGAACACAAACGTGTTCATTAAATGCGAAGATTGTGCTGTGGGAACAGCTGCCGCGCTGGATGATAAGGGGGGAAGACGCAGCCCCGCAGCCAGTGAGAAGAAGTTGGCGGGACCCCCAATCCGAAGGGAAGCCCCGGAAAACCCTCCGCTAAATCAGGGAAAGGAGTCGCTTCGCTTCGCGGGGGGAGAAAAAGGCGATTCGCCTCCTTGAAAGACGCTTCAGGAACATCCTGAGGTAAATCTCAAGCAGCCCAGAGAAAAGGCGGGGAAAAGGGAAACGCCCCCTTTCACCCACAGCAACCAATCAGAGTGCAGATCCCCTCAGGCGGGAGCCCGCCCTCACTCACCCAGGGTCCTTTGTGAGCTTTCCTTCTCCAGCCATTAAATGGGATATTTTCACATTTAAAGGGTTCAACAGAAAAAGACCCCAAATGACTTTGCTTTTGTCCATTAGATTGAATTGTCAGGCTGGAATGTTTTTTGTTTTTTTAAATCTTGCACTGTGGTAAAAATAAGTCAACATCTTTTTTCCCCTTTTTTCTCTTGTAACTCAGACTTTCTTTTCCCCTTTCTCCTTCCTTTAATTTCCTATTTCTATTTTTCTTTGTGTTTGGTATAATAATTAAACAAATAAGGTCTTGAGACTCTAGAAAGAGTGCAGAGAAGAGCAACGAAGATGGAGGCTAAAAGGAATTTTTAAAACGGTTGCTGGGACTGGGTGTGTCTGCTGTGAGGAAAAGAAGGATGAGGGGAGACATGGGGGCGTCTTCCAATATATCAGGGATTTCCACAAAGATTTCTCTTTTCTGTCCACTCCTTTAAATAAATATAGAAGTGGACCTAATGAAAGAGGCGCGGGTAGAGAGGCACTTTATAGATAATAATCAAACCGTTCAAGAAACGCCACAGAAGAAAGAGGAAAACCTCCTTCAAGGCATTTGGGTTCCTATAAATGGGGGAAAAGAAGCACAGACGTCGAAACCTTTGTCTGACAGGGAGCCATGGAGAGGGTCCTTTCCCGTTACTCCCAACACCATCATCCCCACCCTCTCGCTTCCCCTTCCCATGCGCTCCTCTTTCCCGCCCTTTCTACCCTCCTGGCCCTTTGCCCAGAATCCACCAGGGGTCCCCCTCCACCAAGGGAAGGGAACTCCAAGCCCTTTCCCATTGGGCCACTGCAGGGCGAACCTCCTGGCTGTCTTCACAGATGAGGCGGGAAAGGAAGTGACTTCACTAAACCTTGCCTCTCTATGATGCCACACTCGCTCTCCTGAACACCTGGGGCTACGCAGGAGGCAGTTTGGCTGGGGGACATCCAGACGTGTCACAGGTGAGGGACGGGAGGTCCCATGCTCCCCAGCTGCCCTCTGCCCAGGGGAGGGGAAGCCTGGCGGAGGCCCAGCAGGAGAGGAGAGAAGCACGGCAAGGAGGAGGAGGAGGCAGGATTCGCACTGGGCTCCCTGAGGGCCTGGTCCTGTCTCCGGAGGGGGAGAGAAGCAGAGGGCAGCAGCCTCTCCACAGCTGCCTCCTTCCCGGCCCTGCTCAGGCGGGGGGGCGGCTGGGCCTGGCGCTGGGAGGACCCGCTTGGGGCTCTGGGCAGGTTCAGGAAGGGGGTCCAGGGGCTGAATCCCCCTTTCTGATCCTGGGTGTCGGTTTTTCTCTCCCTCCCAGATCCGGAAGCTCGGAGCCCTTGACAGCCTTTGCAAGCCAGGATTTTCTCTGCGGGGGAAGGAAAGAAGGAAGGAAGGAAGGGAGCAGAAGGACCAGCAGGGATCCATTCTGCAGCCTCAGAAATGGTTCCGTGAAGGAGAGGCCCCTGGAGACCCCCCCCCCCCCGAGTCCCTGGAGCACTTTTGAGCTGCTCTGCTGGAGAGAGGAAGGATGGAGACACCCCCTTTGGCTAAGGAGGGGAGTGGAAAAGGCTCCGCGGTTCTTCAGCCTGGGAGCTATGGGGAGAGGTGGACCAGAACCAGGCAGAAGGTCCCGCAGGAAGGAACCCTCCTCCCTTCAGAAGTTCCACCCTGGACCTTCATCCAATACCAGGAGGCTGAAGGTCCCCGAGGACTTTGCAGCTCTCAGGCGGTGGCCCTGGCGGAAGGCTTCCTCCTGAGCCAGGCGGAAGAGCAGAAGGAGCAGCTCCAGTGGCAGGTAGGAGACTTTGGGGAGCTCAGAAGGAAATAAAGAGAGTGTTTCAATGCTTCACCCCTCCTTCCTATAGAGACATGGTGGGTCAGTGGTTAGAATGCAGTACTACAAGCTAATTGCCTACAGCCAGGTGCTCGATCCTGACCGGCAAATGGTTGATTAAGCTTTTCATCCTTTTGAGGTCACTAAAATGAGGAACCAGGAGTGGTATATAAGTCTAAGTAGAATTGCTATTTCTATATAGTTTCTCCCGAGCGTGGATCCTTTTATGAGAAATAAGATTGAGGTAATTCCCCATTAGGAGAATGAGCGCACAAAGGGAGACATAGTGAGAGTGGTGAAGAATAATACACAACCAGCACACAAATACACTGTATAGTAAAATGTAGATTTTTACTCCCAGTAAAGCGGTTAAGCAAAGTTCAACAGTCTAAGTCATTCACGGTTAAAGGAGTCAGTTTTCATTCCAGGGATAACCCAAATCAAAGTCCAGTATCAAAAACAGTTCAGTAATAGACTCACATCAAATCCAAGAATAATGATGATCAGTAACAGTCAATAGAGGAATGCAGGAATGGCAACACTCTCAGCAACAACAAAATAGCCCAGGTTTCTGCCTCCATCTTATGGCCTTTTGAGGAACCACATCCAATTACAATTTTAGCATTTCCTTAAAGAGACAGTATTAAAATGTCTATCCTGGTTTATATATTTTCCAACTCAACTGTTAGGTGACTTACATTCCTAATAGCTATCTCCCCTTTGGGTAGGACAATATATACAACCTTACATTCTAAGTCCATAATCCTCACAGCAAGCCTTATGCTTTACTGAGCCTTAGGCTTTTGTAAAATGATCTACGATGTTATTTTCTGACATACAGTATTCCAGCTTAATCATCTTACTTTGCACACATTCTCTCACATTTAAATATCTTTAATCTGTGTGTTTTGATCTTGTCTTAACAGCAAGATTGGAAGCCATCTGTATTGCTGATTGGTTGTCTTCATAAATAACAATAGAATCTGTTACATCAATTCCCATATCAATAGTTTCTTATAACAAATTAAATCTGCACATAGTAAAGATAAACATGAGAATTCAGCCTCCATTGTTGATAAACTTAGATGTTTCTAATAGACCTCCATCCAATCAACACCTTTCCTAATAATACAGTACCTGATGTAGATTTACATGTATTTATGTCTGTAGTGAAACTTGCATCAGCATATGCAGTTAAACTCAGTTCATCCTTAGGCTCCAAATACAATGCATAATGCATTGTTTGTTTCAGATATCTTAACACATGCTTAGCAACTTGCCAGCACCTTTCAGTTGGCTCAGCATTAAACATTGCTAATTGGTTAACACAGTATGCTATATCTGGCTTTGACTAATTATTGAGATAAGATAAACTACCAATCAAGGACTGATAAATGTTCTTATCAAAAACAGGACTTTGAACATCACTGTGGCTAAACTCTTGGCTCATTGGTGTTTTAGCTGGTTTACAAAGTTCCATTTTAAAATTCTTTAGTAATTGGTTAATTTTATCTGCCTGTGAGATCTTGTATCCTCCCCTAGTTCTATCTATCTTTAATCCAAGATATTGCTTAATTTCACCAAACTGTTTTATCTTAAATATCTTCTCTAACAGTGATATTATTTTAGTAGCTTCTTGTTCAGTTTTGGTGTTTAATCCTATGTCATCAGTAAACAATAGCAACAATGAAATTACACCATTACTTTCTCTTTTGAACAAACATGGTTCAGCCATGCCAGCTACAAAACCTATCTTAGTTAATTCCTTAACTATACATTGGTTCCACTCATATCCTGATTGCTTCAAGCCATAAACTCTTTCAATCTCCAACAATCAGTTGTATTATCATTTGTTTTTATACCTAAATGTTTCTTCAAATGTAGTGTTGCAACAATGCATGCAGATATGCCGTCTCTACATCTAAATGATTTACAATGTATTCCTCCTTCGCTGCCCACACTAATGCTGCTTGTAATGTAGTAGCCTTCAGACTAGGCACAAACATCTCATCATAGTCGTTTGCTGTCTGATTGAACCCTTGTGCTACTAACCTGGCTTTATGGGTAACAGTCCCATCCACACTAGTCTTAAGTTTATAAATCCATTTACACCCTATGGCATGTTTACCTGGTAGTGACCTAACATTTTCATATACATCCAACCTTTGTAAGGATTTCAGTTCCTTATCCATTGCTTCCTGCCAAGCAGCCTGATCCTTAGCAGGATACAGTTTCAGTTCATTATAGTTATTTGGAACTGTATTCACTTGGCATACAACACTAGCCTGATATCTATCAGGTGGTCGTGTTACTCGGGTTGAACATGTTGGTAATACAGGGCTTACTGGTTGACTCGCCTGTGCTACCTGCTCCTGTTTTTCTACCTCCTCCTGTGTCTGTTCTTCTTCCTCCTCTTGTGCCTGTTCTTTCCCTTTAATAGTTATTGATGGTTTACTTATTTCATATTTAGGGACTACTTTGGTGTCAATAATAACATCATTGCTGGATTCCTGTTCCAGTTTATTCCACCCAACATGCTCAAGAAATTTAACACTAGCACTACAGTAAACATGAGCTGTGCCTGGATCCCAAAATCTAAACAATCTATGGTTGGCTTCATAACCTACAAAAAATAATTTCCTAGCTCTATGTTGCCCTTTCAGTCTTACTTGTGAGGGAATATGTACCCATGCTGGAGTTCCAAATGTGTGTAAATAACTTAAATTTGGCTTTCTGCCATGCCAACAAGTGAATGGCAATTCTCCAGTTGTTGTGTTCACCACATTGCTTAAAACATGGTTACTACACATTATGGCCTCACCCCAGTGTTTCAGGAAAACCTGAACCAGATAATATAGCACGAGCCATAGCTTGTAACATTTGCCCTCTTCATTCTACAAACGAGTTATGTTGTGGTCTGTAAGGTGCAGAACGTTTATGCTCGACACCATAACATTAGCTTGTAACATTTGCCCTCTTCATTTTACAGACGAGTTATGTTGTGGTCTATAAGGTGCAGAACGTTTATGCTCGACACCAGCCAATTTCAGCATTGTTTGGAATCTATTGTTAACAAACTCAGTCCCATTATCAGTAACTAAAGCAATTACTTTACTCCTCATTTTCCTCTCAGCAAATCTTAGCCAGTTAAAGAAATGTTGGAATGTTTCTGTTTTGTTTTTCATGGGATAGCAGAAACCGTACCTTGAGTAATGTTCCATTATACTCAAAAATAGTAGGCACCTCCCGAACTGGGTTTCTTAGGACCAATTATGTCAACAAAAACAACCTCTAAAGGTTCTTTGGTCTTAAACCCATTAAGTCTGTTTGCTGGAATAAGCTTGCTTTTCTCTTGGCTACAGGCGTTACAGTTTAAATACTTGCTACAGGGTTTTAATTTTACTCCCTCTGACAATTCAACAGTTTGTTTGAGCATTTTGAAATTAATGTGCCCCAGACGTCTATGCAGTAAATGTATACATTCGCCATGTGGCTTAACATTGTTATAAACCGAGTTAGCCATCTTCAACTGATCATCATGTATCACATATAAATCATTCTCTAAATTATCAGTAACACTTTTACCCTCTTTCTCTATTATACAGTTATCTCCCCTAAAGGTTACTACATAACCAATATTAACTAAAGCCCTTACTGATAACAAATTAAATTTCAGTTTAGGTACATATAACATAGTTAAATGCTTGTTTATACATGAACAATATGCAGTACCTTCACCAGACACTTTCATTTTCCATCCATTTGCCAATGATACATGTTGCTTACTTGTAGACATCTTTCCAAACCTCTCTCTACCTTTTGTAATGCATTGAGATGCTCTACTATCAACAACTCACAAATCATAGTTTACAGTTGAATTGCTAGACATAGCTAAATTAACATTCTTCTTAGCCTTCTGGTGATTACCAGTATTCTGTGATTTGCCCTTCTTAACAGAATCTAGCTATATGTTCCATAGCCCCACAAGAAAAACATTTTCTAACAGTATAAGCAGTTGAAGACAAATTCTCTTCTTGTGGTTGTTCCTTTCTCAGTTGGTCCCTGTCCAGTTGTCTTCTTGCTTCTTCTAACAACCTTCCGGTTATGTCAGTTCATCTTTGGTCAGGACTTCCAGTGAAGATATGTAATCATCATAACTTTCATCCAATGAGGAAAGAATGATGTAAACTTGATGCAGCTCTGAAAATATCAGTTCCTTTTCATGTAGCTCTTGAAAAGTTCTTTTCATGAAGTTTAAATGAGCTAACATACCACCTTTCAGAAGATGTGCTCTAAACAGTTTATGTGTAAGATGTATGTGTGCACCTACACTGTCACGAACACAAATCTTCTTCAAATTCTCCCAACACCTAGCAGCAGACTCTTCTCCATGAATATGGAGGTCACGCAGTGTTAGTCCAATTATACAAAGAGCTCATTCATTGTTTCATTTAAAGTCAGCAAGCTTCTTGACATCATCCTCATCATCTGGGTCCCAAGCATTTACATTCCGGTGGATCCTGAACTGCAGCCCATAACCCTTCCCTACGCAGAAGTAGATGGCACTTCATAGACCAGTAAACAGTTTGTTCCATCTGAGTTATCAGTGATAGACTTGTTGAAGGGACTTGTTCCATCTTTACCAGGAGAGTAAACCACAAGTAAACAGTAAACAGCTGTCTGTATACAGTACTGTATATTCACACTAACTCTCAGCTATCTGAGCCTGGTATGGCCTGGGCCCATAACCAGTGTTGGTAATTCCCTGTTAGGAGAATGAGCGCGCACAGGGAGACGTAGTGAGAGTGGTGAAGAATAACAACCAGCCCAAAGATATACTGTATAGTAAAAAGTAGGTTTTTACTTCCAGTAAAACGGTTAAGCAAAGTTCAACAAACAGTCCAAATCATTCACGGTTAAAGCAGTCAGTTTTCATTCCAATGATAATCAAAATCAAAGTCCAGTATCAAACACTGTTCAGTAATAGACTCACATCAAATCCAAGAATAACAATGATCAGTAACAGTCAATAGAGAAATGCAGGAATAGCAACACTCTCAGCAACAACAGAACAGCCCAGGTTTCTGGGTCCATCTTATGGCCTTTTGAAGAACCACACCCAATTACAATTTTAGCATTCCCTTAAAGAGACAGTTTAAAATGTCTATCCTGGTTTATATATTTTCCAACCCAACTGTTGGGTGACTTATATTCCTAACAATGATGACTATTCTGAGCAAAACTCTTTCTACATTCCATGCAATTAAATGGCTCCTCCCCTGTGTGGATTCTTTTACGGGAAAAAAGAGTGGATTTTTTTGGTGGCTTCTAAGGCTACTGCTCCGAGTAAGTCTTTTCACACTCCATGCATTCATATGGTTTCTCTCCTGCATGTATCTTTTTGTGCCTTTTAAGACAACAGTCCTGAGCAAAGGTCTTTCCACACTCCATGCATTTAAATGGTTTCTCTCCTGTGTGGATCTTTTTGTGCCGTTTAAGAACACTGTCCTGAGCAAAGGTCTTTCCACACTCCATGCATTTAAATGGTTTCTCTCCTGTGTGGATCCGTCTGTGCCTTTTAAGATCACTGTCCTGAGCAAAAGTCTTTCCACACTCCATGCATTTATATGGTTTCTCTCCTGTGTGGATCCGTCTGTGCCTTTTAAGATCACTGTCCTGAGCAAAAGTCTTTCCACACTCCATGCATTTATACGGTTTCTCTCCTGTGTGGATATTTTTGTGCACTCGAAGGCCACTGCTCTGAGCAAAGGTCTTTCCACACTCCATGCATTTAAGTGGCTTCTCTCCTGTGTGGATCATCTTATGGGAAATAAGATTACCTCTTTGAGCAAAGGTCTTTCCACACTCCATGCATTTAAACGGCTTCTCCCCTGTGTGGATCATCTTATGGGAAATAAGATTACCTCTTTGAGCAAA